TCTGGCCCTGGGGCTCGTCAGGATGGCGCAGAGCTGAGCCTCCACCATGTCATTATCGAAATAATGGTCATTTGCTTTGTTTTCCTCCTACTTCCCAAAGTTCAAGGAAACTTTCTCTCTCTCTCTCTCTCTCTCTGAGGTTCTCCTTTGGGTCCAGGGACGACTCGACCAGCAGGAGCAAAACAAGGTAACGTCAGGTCTACAAAAACATCCCCTCTCCTTTGGCCACTGAGCGGGAGGGTGGTCTAGAAGGGAGTGGCTGAACCGAGCCCCAGGTTGCCCTCAATGGTCCAATCTTCTGAGCAGAACTTAGCCCTCAGCCCAGCGCTGGTCCTGCACGAGGGCGGCCTCTCTCGTCTTTCATCCAGCCACCTTGGCCAGCACAGACTTTCCGGAGGGGAACCATGGCCACAGGCAACCCTCAGAGGAGACTCTTGCTGCTTCTGTTGCTGCTGCTGCTGCTGCTGCCCTGGACAGTGTCTGGGAGGGAGAAGGGAAAATGCACTTTGAGCTTGGCAAGGGACCCTAACCAACCCTCGAATTTTTACAGGCCAGGGGACTTCCACATTGGCGGAGTGATATCAGCAACACCAGTCGTTTTTCAGCCTGTCAGCTTCTCGACGTCCCCTGTCACCAGAATTCTAGGGTGAGTTTTTCTATATTAAACCCATATTCCTTGCTTTCTGTATCCCAAGCGCAAGCCAACGGAAGGGACAGGGTTTCTCATTCCAGACATGGACAGATCCGGGGTGGGGGTTCCCAAGTGAGCCTCCTGACCACACAGAGAAGGCAATTATCATCTGACTCTCAACTTTATTTCGGGTTCCTTCAATGATCTCACCCCCTCTTTTAAATAAGCCACATGTTATGCTTTGAAATATTTCTATATGTGTGAAAGATTTGCAAAAGCATTCAGTGGGTCATCTTGCTTGGCTTTTTTTTTCATGTTATTTATCGGACATTGTGTAATACCTTGGCTTGCCCTAATTATGGGTAGCTTATCTGTTGTCATGTTTTGTGTTTCGTGTATTCTCATTTTTTGTGTTCTTTTGGAGCTGTGAAGGAGAGAGAGAGAGAGAGAGATAAAGGGACCCAAGAGACAAACAGTCTTTCGACTTTTGAACAATAAATTTCCACAGGATTCATATAAAATTGATATTTAAAAATTACGTCACCTTTTTCTGACCAACTGTTGTCCTAAAACATCTTCACTCGAATTCGTAAATAAAATAATATTCGGTGGGTCATCTTGCTTGGCTTTTTTTCATGTTCAATGACTGTTATTTATTGGACATTGTGTAGTACCTTCGCTTGCCCTAATTATGGATAGCTTATCGGTTGTCTTGTTTTGTATTTTGTTTATTTTCATTTTTTGTGTTCTTTTGGGGCTGTGTATGCTAGTGAGAGAGAGATAAGGAGGGACCCAAGAGACAAGCAGAGGCTGCTTCATGTGAATTGATGGGCTTATAATTTTCCCCAGTTCAGTCTTTCGCCGTTTCAACAATACA